GGCTTTCACCTCCACGCCCAAGATAACTCCAGCGTGGAGTGCCTGGCTACTGGACAGTGGAGCAATGGCAATAATCCTCCTCCATGTGTGGGTGAGTCTAATGTGGTCCACCTTCAATCTTCAATCTTCTTTGTCTCTTTTTAAAGATGTATGATGCCTTTGTCTTAATAAGCATCCAGGATAATTTCAAAAGCAACCAGAAGCTTATTGTGTTGGAATTAAAAGACCACCTAAGTTGGTTAGTCTCTTGACAACGGTTGGTTAGTTAGATGCCTTCTGGGAAATTAGAAAGAGGATATTGTATAGAAATCTAAATCTCCTGCTCCAGAGGGCCAGATATTCTCTTTTGTCTGAGCCCAAAGAAAGATCTGATGAGGGAAATCCTTCTGCTGGACCTTTTTTTAGCTGGGCTGCTAATCTGCTGATGACGGGAAGATCCTACACTGAGAAAATCAAAGAAACCATTCTCCAGATAATTCTGTCCATGGTTTTAGTGGAGCAATTTAAAAGCCACTTTTGTACCCTACTCTGGCCGTTATTTAGTTTCCTTGAGACAGAACTTTCCACGCAGGTATAACTCTTTCTTATATCGATTATTTCTAATATTTCATATGCAAATCAGAAGGTGGAGGCTCCATTGCTAGCTGACACTGCTAAACACCTTTAATAGATTTGTCTTCCCATTTGTTTTCCTCCTATAGATACTGACATTTCATTTAGTTACCAGGTTCATCGTTCCCCTTGTTCGGAAATCATTCAATGTTGCCTCAAAGGTTTGTATCCGAACTTCATTCAGCTTTGTGACAAATTTGGGGCCATTTTCAAATGACCACCAGCTTAGAAAAAAAATCAGTTCAGACTGTACAGTGACAATGACAAATACAACATTCTCCTCTTATTTATAGCTTTCAGCTGGCCGTTCTCGGCTAGAATGGACAGATGGATGAGTTTTTAGTTGGACTTAGATTGTTTCTCTTTTCATCTCGCTGAATTCAGCGGTCAGCTGTCCTGACATCAGTAGCATTGCTGTGGAACATGGGAGATGGAGGCTGATTCATGAGACCCAGTACCAGTATAACGCACAGCTCATGTTGATCTGCGACCCAGGCTATTATTACATTGGGTTTCGTGTCATCGGCTGCCAGGCGAATGGGAAATGGAGCATAGGAGAACCCATGCCGACTTGTAGAAGTGAGTGTGAGAAATCAAAACTGTGTGTGCACCTGGGAGGATAATATGACACTGGGGGGGGGGTGTTGTACAACGATTGAAGAACAGCAGTTTATAAAGACAAGAAATACAAAAATATACATTCCAGATTAAAAAATAAATATCATAAAAACAAATTTATTCAGAGAAAGGATAAGTAAGAATGGTCACCTTAACAATGAAGTCATCCAAGTCAGGGCTTTTCAACCTTTTCACCGATTGTACCACTTTTAGAATATGGCAGTAATAATAATAATAATAATANAATAGTAAAGTTGGAAGGGACCTTGAAGGTCATCTAGTCCAACCCCCTGCTCAGGCAGGAAACCCTATACCATTTCGGACAAATGGCTGTCCAGTCTCTTCTTAAAAACTTCCAGTGTTGGAGCATTCACCGCTTCTGGAGGCAGGTTGTTCCACTGGTTAATTATTCTCACTGTCAGGAAGTTTCTCCTTAGTTCTAGGTTGCTTCTCTCCTTGATTAGTTTCCACCCGTTGCTTCTTGTCCTGCCTCCAGGTGCTTTGGAAAATAGCTTGACTCCCTCTTCTTTATGGCAGCCCCTGAGATATTGGAACACTGCTATCATGTCCCCCCTTGTCCTTCTCTTCATTAAACTAGACATACCCAATTCGAGTACCACCTAGCAAGGTGTCAAAAACTTGATGACCCCCCAAAAAACACCACAACCCTGTTCAAAGTTGCAATTGCACTGAAATGACTTATGACCATTTTTCACACTTATGACCATTGCATTATATTTGGATGCTTGGCAACTGATTCATATTTATGATGGTCACAGTGTCCCAGGGTCAATGATCAAAATCAGGCAGGGTTAACTCCTTCCAGGTCCCATCTTTATGGTACTGTCATCTGTCAAGGCACCAGAAAGTAGGTTTTTCTCAATAGGTGTCCCCACTCCAAAACTCCCTTGGTGTTCTGGTCAGCTTCATCCCTCCTGGGCAATTAGGATACAGTCAACAACTACTTGTTCCATTTGACTCAGCAGGATGGTATGTCATGACCAAAGATAAAGCTTGCGATAATATAAAACCTATGCTTGGGGAAAGGTTAATGTATATTGTGATTGTGTTATGTTTAGGCATGTTGGAGGATGGGGGTTTAGGATTTTTGGTGGCCATTACCCTTTATATCAATGTTTCTCAACTTCAGCATGTCAAGGTTCTGACTAACGAAACACTTCAAAGAACTTTCAGGCATTGTTTATCCTAAAAAGTCTTTAATCGTGAAACAAAGTGTTGGCACAGCATGGTGGATGCCAAGATCTGAATTCCCCTCCCCTGAGCACATAATATTCAAGCATAATTCCCTCCTCTAATTTGCAGTCATAAATCACGTTCTCCAATTAGTTTGAAGGGCAAAGTTTCCCTTCCGGTCTGTAGCCAGCGGTTTCTTATCTTAACTAATCCCCACACACATTCTTTCTCCTCCCCTCCCAGCATCATCTAATAATTTAACTCTAAAAGTACCACACAGCTTATATAGAGGGTGGCTGCCTCTTCATATTTTGTCAAACCAAGAACATCCAATGTTAGCAGCATTGACACAGCAGCTTTAAGATCATCTTAAAGCTACTGAAGTTGAGAAACACTGCTTTACATTATTATGAGATTGTTAGCCTTCCACAGACTTTGGGAATGGGTAACAGACAAAAGAATAATAATAAATAAATATACAAATATTTTATAAGGAATCAGTTCTGTTCCAAAACAATTACTTGGTTGGAAAAGCTTCCAGAATACATTCTTAGTGATATATCATTTAATAATACCTAGCACACCAATTTTATAGCTAAAATTATTTTCTTATAAAAAAATCATGCCGCCTCAAGCCTCACTTTTGTTGCCAAAGTTTTGTAAAGCAGGAGGATTTGGGAATCCGTAAAAATTGGCTTAGGAGTTGTATAGTCACAAGAGCTAGTCACTTCTTGACAACTCGCTAAGATGCGGTTTAGTGAGTGCCACAAAATCCTCCATCCTGTGTTCTACAAAACTAGCCACTTGAGGTTGATTAAATTAAGGGTGATTGAGCAATTTACAAATTACTGTAACATACACTGCCAAGTTTGAAGAGCCAATGAGCTCTTTTTTGTCCTAGTATCATTTGCTAAGTACCCTAAGTTTGTTTATCCGTGTCTTAATTTTAGTCATCTCCTGTGGAGACTTGCCCGTGCCACCCAACGGAAACAGGATTGGGACCTTAACCACTTATGGAGCTACTGCCATCTTCTCCTGCAATAGCGGCTATACCTTAGTGGGTTCTCGTGTGCGAGAATGTATGGCCAACGGTCTTTGGAGTGGACTAGAAGTGACATGCCTGGGTGAGTATAGGGCTACTGTTAACCTGATCAACTGGGGGCCATTCATAATCCCAAATAGGAGACCTGGGGACTGTTCAGAGGATGTTTCTGTACCCATCTTTAGAAAGTGATAGAACTAGACCTGCAAGCAGTGGATTAATCCACCACAATTTCAGTTGATAAATGTATAAGGGACAGTTTTAATCAGCTGCTTTTAATTTATGCGTTGCATAAATTTGTTTTTTTCTTCTTGCTGAAGAATGAAATACTGTATTGTACAGGCCACTTGCTACCAAAAAGTACTTTTACGTTGTGTTATGTCCTGGGCCTGCTGAGTGACTCAGCAGGTGCAGGAAGCTGCAAAAAGACCCAGGCAGACCACGTGGATGCCCGGGACCAGACAGGCTGTCTCCAGCCTATTGCGCATGCGCAAGGCGGGAGAATCCGTTGCATTGATTGGTTGACACTGTCCCTGCAAAGGGATATAAAAGGAATCTGCGCCATTTTGTGTTGGTTCTGTTGGAGATTAAAATAAAGAGAAGACTGTTGTTACTCCTGCCTCGTCTCAATGCCTTTACATCGAAAACAGAACATGTTGCTTTTGGTTAAATTAAATCTTATTTTAGACTTTATTATCAGTTCCAGATGGGGACATGTCTTGAATAGTCTTAATAAACAGAATTAAAGAAAACTGCAATGGATTCTTGCTGCTGTTCTTCCTTTTATCCTTGCTTTATAACTGTTTGATACATACAAAAGACTTTTCAATTTCTCTCTCATTGTTGGAGTTGCCTGTTTCCATCTTTGGAAACCTGATATAATTGAACATATCTTTTAAAAAACACTAGTAGTTTTTAGGATGTTTATAGGATTTTTCATCCACTATAGCAGTAGATGAAAAACCCTATAAATATCTAAAAAACCGAATAAGTTTAGCAGTCTCTTGACAATGTTGACTCACCGCCCATATAAAGAAAGAGAAATCTTATCTTGTTGTCATATCAAGAGGTTTAGAGATGATGCACACATAAGCAATGTGGAGGCAAGTACTTTTAGAGACCTAAAATTTGGGGCATAAAATCTGGAAGTGGTTTCCAAGTGGAAACAAAACTGGCTAAGTTCTTCTCATTAATTAAAATAATTAATGTTGCCATCTCCACCAACTCTACATACTTTTTCCATTCATGCTTCCATTGTGGAAATTTCTTTCCGTTCCTCGCCACCGTCAGCATATAGAATAACAATGTTCCAAATTTTGTTTCAAGCTCTTTATCCAACATCCCTAAAAGAAAAACGTCTGGTTTTGCTTTTATGTTGTTTTAAGAACCTTCTGAATTAAGACAAAATTTGTAGTACCTTTCTTAAGGTACATAGGTATCTAGGAAGGCTTCATTCTACATTGGACTATCACTAATTCTACCTTCTCTTTTTCCCCATCTCCTCCCGTTTTCTTCTCCCTCCAGCCGGTCACTGTGGTGAGCCAGGTTCTATTGTCAATGGCCAGATTAATGGCGAGAACTACAGTTACCGTGGCAGTGTGGTGTATCAGTGTAACCCTGGCTTCCGGCTCATCGGCATGTCAGTTCGCATCTGCCAGCAAGATCACCACTGGTCCGGGAAGACTCCTGTTTGTGTGCGTAAGTATGTTGCCATTTTAATTATACAGCCTGACTCACAACTTTTTTTTTTAATAAAATTTTTATTGATTTTTGTAATTAAACAACAAATAATATGATGCATTTACGTACATAAACAGAAAAAAAAATAATCCAAGTCAATACATTTTCAGAGACGCTCGGCAGTCCCCGCCTTGCCTCCAACCTCATCGACTTTCCTATCCTTCCTCCCTCTGACCCACAACCTCTCCACCTTCCTCCTTACCACCTACCTACATCCCCTCTCCTTCCTAACCACCTCCTCGAGTGCAATTTGGGACACCAGCCAAGCATCTCCTCTTGTCAACACAATGAGTGTTTACCTATAAAATGTAAATACATCAATTTTTATAATTCCCTTAATCCCCTACCCCCCCCCTGGACTTCCCGGAACCAAATACAGGACTATCACACATCCCATTCCATATCTAAATTACAATTTAACTAAACAAACATACTACAATCAATATATACATACTTTAACTCTAATAAACCAATAAGTAAAAACAATACAACTACTCAAAAACTATATGATATTTATTCACTCCATACTTTCTCTAAATATAATTTATCCACCTTCAACATTTAAACTCAAAACAACTTTGATAGAGAGCTTAGGAAGGAAAAAAACAAAAAAACAAAGAGAGGGTCCAACTGTCCCATTTCTCAGTCCTGATTCCCCAAATGTCTCCTAGTTTTTGATTTTTCAGCCACTATTTCTCTCCAGCTCTTTTTCTTGGAGGTTTAGACTTTAGAGGAAAACATACTTTGGCTAGTTGATTGGGTTCGTTGGCCCATCCTTCCATATTTCTAGAATTCCCTACTCCCTTCTGCAGACTCAGTAAAAAAATGGGGTGAAAACAGAACTTCTAAGGACTGCATACTTTACTGGATCAAAAATGCGATTTCTGAACTATTCAAAGATGCATCCTAGGAAAATTAAGCTGTCCTACAATTTTGGTTTATCCAGTTTTATCAGCAGATCCACTGTTGGCTTGATTATGAGCCCATTCCAGACTTCATTTCTGTGAAGTCTTTTTCCTCTACGACAAATATCATAGAAATATCGTAGAGTCATAGGGTGGAAGGGACCTTGGAGGTCTTCCAGTCTAACCTTCATTTGTCCAAGATGGTGTGAGGCAGAAGTCCTTATAACATCTTGGACAAATGGTTGTCCCATCTTTTCTTGAGAACCTCCAGTGATGAGGCACCCACAACTGTAGGAGGCAAGCGTTCCATTTAACAATTCACTTAGGTGGATCTGCAAGAGATTCAACTTGTATAAAGAAGGACAGATTTATCAAGGATCACACAAGTGATCATGGTTTTATGCTACCTTGAGCTTCAAAGGAATCACCCCTTTTCTCCTGTTCTACCCCAGAGCATTTTGGTTGCATTCATATGAAAGAGGATGTTTGGCTGAGCACCTATTTGATCTGATTCTGTTTCTATTCTTAGCCCTCTTACTTTGAATTCACCATAGTCATTTATTTGCTAAAGAATGCTCGACAATTCCACTACAGGTCTTCCTCTTGGGAACTAAAATTAATCACATATATTTAAAAGGCATTTAAAAGATGGATATAAGATGCCAAAACAAATCCTACAAATTTCGACAGAGCATCTTCCTGTGGGAAGATCAGTTTGCTAATCTTCCATGAATATGACAGCACTGAGACCACAGCAGGAAAAAAAAAAAAACAAGTTGCTTAAAACCTGTAATTAACATTCTTTGACTGGTCTTCCGTGCAGTTGCCCAATCACCTTCCCTTCTCATTGTGAATGCCTAATGCATTTTGGTACAGCCTGCACAGAGTAGAGAAACCCTTTGGCCTTACCTGTGAGACCTACAATAGACCTAAGCTTTTCCAACAGGGGGAGAATATCCCTGGAAAAGCAACGGGTGCAAATTCAGATCCCTTATCTGCGATTGGATAAAAGAGGATATGAGACATTGTAATAATTAAGAAGCAGCTTTTATTTCCTCTTTGACCAATACAAAAAAGATGCTAAGACTTTGAAAAAGGGTGCAGAGAAGAGCAACAAAGATGACAAAGGGCTTGGAGGCTAAATCAAATGAATGTTGAGGGAGCTAGCTAAGTCTAGCCTATTGAAGAGAAGGGTTGGGGGGACATGATACCTGTACTTGAGGGGCTGTCACAGAGAAAAGGGGATTGACCTATTCTCCCAAGTACCAGATGGCAGGACAAGAATAGTGAGTGGAAGCTTATTAAAGAGCGATAAGGAGAAATTTTCTGACAGTGAAAACAATTAATCAGTGGAATAGCTTGCCTCTTGGAGTTGTGGATGCTCCATCACTGGAAGTTTTCAAAAATAGACTGGACAACCATTTGACCAGGATAATATAAGGTCCCTGCCTTCCAGCCCCATGATTCTATGTTCATTTGTGGTACTAGTGGTTGAGATTGGCTATCTAAAATATGATCCTCACTGGAGTCCTTTCCTTATGTGACCTGCCACAGAGGCAGTAGTTCCCCAAATCCTGTGACAGCCAGAAGTATCTGTTGTATTTATAAGGAGCAAGAAAGTTTCTGTGGTTGGGCTGGCCAAGAGCAATAGAAGTGCAAGCTTCAGTTTCTGCCACATATGCTCATTATTCAAAATTATTTCTGTGAATATGTGTTGGCTTGAGCCATCATTTATTTCTCTTTCTTGCTCACTCTCCGATATGAAATAAATCTTTTCAAGGCCTCCCCCAACTCTCTCCTCAGCAGGTTATTAACTCTCTGTTCAAATTTGAAAACCCATTTTATCTTTCAATAGGATCTTAATCCTTTCTGGTTTCTTCCAGCCCCTTCTTGTTAGTTTCACAATGCCAATAGCAAGATATCCTGCTTGATCCTGCTTGATGTTCCATTCACTATATGCTCTGACCTTTATAATAATAATGATGATGATGATGATGATGATGATGATGATGATGATGATGATGATGATGATGATGTTGGAAGGGACCTTGGAGGTCATCGAGTCCAACCCCCTGCTCAGGCAGGAACCCTACACCATTTCAGACAAATGGCCGTCCACTCTTCTTAAAAACTTCCAGTTTTGGAGCATTCACCGCTTCTGGAGGCAGGTTGTTCCACTGGTTAATTGTTCTAACTGTCAGGAAGTTTCTCCTTAGTTCTAGGTTGCTTCTCTCCTTGATCAGTTTCCATCCGTTGCTTCTCGTCCTGCCTTCAGGCGCCTTGGAGAATAGCTTGACTCCCTCTTCTTTGGGGCAGCCCCTGAGATACTGGAACACTGCTATCATGTCCCCCCTCGTCTTTCTCTTCGTTAAACTAGACATACCCAATTCCAGCAGCCGTTCCTTATATGCTTTAGCCTCCAGTCCCCTAATCCTCTTTGTTGCTCTTCTCTGTACTCTTTCTAGAGTCTCAGCATCTTTTTTACATCGTGGTGACCAAAACTGGATGCAGTATTCCAAGTGTGGCCTTACCAAGGGATTGTAAAGTGGTATTAATACTTCACGTGATCTTGATTCTATCCCTCTGTTAATGCAGCCCAGCAAAAGGGCCATCGTAAGCACCCTTGAGGAAAAAGGGATGTTGCAAGATCCAATCTAGTTGGTCACCGGGACCAGACGTTATACTCTTCCGAGCTTTAAGACTCATGTTGAAGCCCATCCTCAAGGAGGCAGAGATGAGCTCCAGCACAAGTCCAAAAACTCCAAAGAGTAAACCTCTGGTCCCGGTGACTGACCCAGATTGTTTCTTGCAACATTATCCTGGGATACATATATTTGCCTTCATTCGTGAAAAAATGATGTCTCAGAGATGAGAATGGGTTGGAACAAGAGTGTGGTCCTCAGCACAATAGTGTGATAGAACACCTTACTACCTCAAGCCATAATATTCATGTTGGATTCTGGAAAAATCCCTCTTTCCAACATGTTTTGTATGTGAACCTGTAGGAAATAAAGAACTGTAAAAAAAAGAAAGAAAAGGGTACTTTCTTTCATGTATGGTGGACATGTAGAGAAGCACAGGTGTACTGGCGTATGGTCTGGGAATGGGCAATAGAAATGACTAAGCAAAATATTCAATACAAACCCGAGGCATTACTATTAGGAATACTAGAGAAAAATGTAAATAAAGATGACACATATTTAATTATTCACATGGTTACGGCGGCAAGGATACTATTTGCTCAAAAGTGGAAAGCAATGGAAGCACCGGGTGGGGAAGTACTAATTAAGAAAATTATGTATTGCGCAGAACTAGATAGGACAACCAAAAGATTAAAAAATCAGGAAGAAACAGAATTTTATCAAATATGGAATAAATTTTATAGATGGAGGGGAAAAAATGGAGGTCACAGCAAAGAGATAAGTTAAGACAGAGACCAGAAATGTACAGTTGTATATAGATATATTATATGTAATTAATGTACAATATGGACTGAGATGTCAGTCAAAGACGATTTACCATGTTCAAATGTTTTTAATCTTTTTTTTCCTTTGTACCCAATAAAAACTTTTTTTAAAAAAAAAAAGAAAAAAAGAACTGGAAAGCTGTTTGACTTGCAAGATGTTCTTGTGGCCTACAGCATTTTAAGTTACAGGGTGCTATTTCACTATTTTAAGGGAAATATTGTAGCACGCCCTTTATTTTATTCCCCAATATGCTTTTTAGGAGATCACATTCTGAGTGTACAGCTCTGAGGATTTTAACATTAACATATATGAATTGATAAGCTTGGCTAAATTGGATCCATGGGGGGAATGAAGAGGAGAATTCTTTTATGACAGTTATTTCTATTAAGTACTGAAAAGAGAAATTTGTGCTTCAGGTCAAGCCCAGGTTATGGTGACTGTGAACACATTCATATGCTATCGTTTTCATGGGAATGGTATATAAATGGTTTAATATTTTTTCTGGGATTTTTAAAAATGTCCTACGGTATATCCAACTATCATGTCCAACTGTGTGTTTTTTTTTTAAATCAGTCAAGGTGAGCTA